TTTTTGATTTAAATGGATCATATACCTAAATGTGAAAGGTAAAACAATAACATTCCTAGAAGAAAAGGAGTCTTACCTTCATGATTTTTATATTTTTCATAACAGTTTACATTTAACATTATTTTGTATTAGTTTCAGGTGTGCAGCATAGTGGTTACAGAATCATAATTTACATGTGATCCTTCCAATAAGTCTAGTACCTGCCTGGCTCCCTACGTAGTTATTACAGTATGATCAACTATAGTCCCTATGCTGTACTTCACATCTGGTGACTATTCTGTAACTACCAAGATTTACCTCTTAATCCTTTCCCCTTTTCATCCAGCCCCTAGTCCCCCTCCCCTCAGTCTGTTGTCTGTATCAATGAGTTGATGAAAACAAGCATTTCTTAAATGGACACAAAAACACTAACAACAATAGAAAATATCAATAAATGGGACTTTATGAAAGTTAAGAATTTTTATTCATCAGAAGATGCCATTAACAAAATGAAAAAGCAAAAAGCAGCCTGGCTGGCATGGCTCAGTGGTTGAGCATCAACCTATAAATCAGGAGGTCATGGACTCAATCCCCAGTGTGGGGCATGCAGGAGGTAGCCAATCAATGATTCTCTCTCATCAATGATGTTTCTCTCTCTCTCTCCCTCTCCTTTCCTCTCTGAAGTCAATAAAATATATTTTCTTTAAAAGTATGTTTTTTGAAAAATCAAACCACTAGCTGAAAATATATATTCCCTCTCTCTCTCTACCTCTCTCTCTCTCCATATATATGGGTTTTTATTTTGTTATTTTCTTGCACATATATATATATATTACAAAGGACTCGCATGTAGAATATATTTTTAAAGTTTGTAATTCAATAAGAAAAAGACAAACAACTTAATTTTTAAATGGGCAAAAGTCTCAAGCCAACATTTTAGAAAAGACAATAACCAAATGATCAATAAGAATAAAGGAAAATGCTCAAAATAATTACTCATCAGAAAAAAATAAAATTAAAACCATCGTGAGGAATTTCTATACACCCAAGCAGATCAGAATTGGAGCATTGTTCTTAAAGTGGGCCAGTAGTTTTGTTGCTAGCTTTACCCAGTGGCAGATAAGTTTCTATTGAATGAATACAAAAAAGTTTTACAAAACATCATACTTTTAAAGTATATTAGCTTGTAAGAACATGTAATAAATAACTTAAAATGCAATGGGTATTTAATTTTAAGGTATGCCTTAACATTTATGTAAAACACTGTGTAATATGAGAACACAAGAATGCTCATGATCCGCCCGCAATGGTTTAGGCACCTTCATAGACTGAGGGAGTCTGGATTTTTTTTTTTTTTTTCCAGTGAAAAGTGGAGGATTTGGGCTAAAGATTCTGCTCTGAGAAAGCCCAGGACAAGTTGGAAACCTATTATATTACAAGATGTATCCACATCCTCCCCCTGAAAAAGACTGGCTCCATAGGAAGAATCCCCTGTTGCCTTGAATTTGTAACTCTTCCCCCCAACATGCATCACACACATAGGACACACCGGACCTGACCTTGGTTCCAGACCAGAGTCCACATCCTGCTAGTTCAGGAGAAAACCCCAAGCAGCGTGGCAGAGATGCCATTGCCGCTTCTGTCCACCAGAGGCCGCCATTGCACAGCACATGGAGACCTCAGGCCCTGTCAGAGCAGAGCCTTCTCCTGCTGCTGCATTTCTGACTCAGGCCGCCAGATGGCGACATGCCGTTTCAAGAAGCAGCTGTCTCGCCCTGGGTCTGCATAATTGCCCCCCACGCCCGGGGCTTTTAAAGCAAACTGAGCCTCTGGCTGGGAACAAAACCATGGGGTTCCCATCCCAGGCTCTGCCTCTCTTAGTGTCTCCATGCCTCCAGCCTCAACTTTCCCGTCTATAAAATGGCCATGACCATTCCTTCCTTTCCTCTCACAAAATGATTTTGAAAGTCAAATAAGCAAAAAGATAAAAAAATAAATAAATAAAATAAAATAAAACTATTTTGGGTTTTTATTTTGTTTTATTTTCTTGCAAATGTTATTTTCTTGCGCATATAAATTGCCTCCAGCTTCCAGCCTTATTTCTAACCACCTGCAACCCTACAGGGAGTGGACACTGGAGCAACGAGCCTTCCCATCGTCCCCCTTGCACCCCTGCTGCCCCCCCTTGCACCCCATTCCCTGCTGCCTCCTCCCCCCAGCACCTCGTTCCCTGCTGCCCGGGGTCTCTGTGATTTCAGTAGCTGGTCCAGGCCTCCCTGTCTCTGTCCTGGAAACAAGGGGAGGGGACAGTGAGAGAATTGCATGGAGACAGAGCAGTTTTTGCACCCCTCCCCCCTAATGGCTTCCTTCTCAGACATTAAATGTAGCTCTCCCCTCCTGCCCCCTGCTCATCTTTAATTTCTTCATCGATTTTCATTAACCTCTCCCCTTGGCTCCAGCACAGAGTGAACTCCTTACTTGAAAAACTAAAACAGGAGGGAGAAGGAGGGGAATAGAACGAAACTCTGTAAAAAGCAAGATGGTCTCTGGTCTCAAGGCTGGAGAAGGCAATTCCTGGGACCCTTGGAGGTTGTGTCTGAGGCTATCTGAGCACGAGCTTCCCCCCCCCCCCACACACACACCCTTATGGCCCTAGATGTGAAGATTCCTGCCCCTCAGATTCCCAGCCTCCCCCCTGGACCAGAGCCCCCCATCCAGGAAATCAGGGGAAGGCTGGGACTCTGACATTATCTAATTAGGGCACATGCTGTGCCTGGTGGGTGGGGGGGCTGGCGAGAGCCCCTGGGCACCCCACTGCCCCAACCTGTCCCTGGACGTCCCTCTTTACCCTGGACACTGACAACAGCGGCCTCTGGAATCGGCACTCGGCAGCCCAGTCACGAAAGGGTATTGGCAGGGCCCGGACGGGGGCGGGGGGGGGGGGCAGAGGCAGAGGGCAGGGGACTCCCGGGCCCTTCCTGGGTGTCTAGAACTCCCCACAGCTTCAGCAGCAGCGTCATGTGGGGGATGAGTGTGGACATAGGCCTCCCGACACGGGATGTGAGTCCCGTCCACAGAGCGGGCCCAGCCCGGCTGGCTCCGGCTCAGCGAAGCTGGCCTTTAATCCCTGCCAGGCCGTGTATTAGCCGTGTGTCCTGGAGCAAGTGGCTCGGTTCTCTGAGCCTCCCCTTCTTCTAACCGCACCAATGGGTTCCCAGTTAAGTGACACAATGAAAGGAGCGGCTTATAGAAGGGTTGCCCAGCGCCAGTGTTCCATACGCGTTAGTTACTGTCGTTTTCAGTGGTGATGATACCCTGGTGACCTCCTGATAAAACAGGGCCCATCATCACTCCCTACAGAGAGCCACACAGAAAACATGTTTCACTCCGCAGGCCGCGTGGCCTCTTCCGTCTACACAAAGACAGCACTCATACAAAGGATCACCGCTGTGTTCCAATAAATCTTTATGACTCGAAATTTTTGAATTTCACACCCTTTTCATGTGATACACAATGTTATTCTTCTCATTTTTTTTCCCCAATCATTTATAAATGAAAGAACATACGTTCTTAGCTCATAGGTCAAACATATCATAGCAAAAGAGGCAGCAGGCTGACGTTGGCCCACGCCCGTCGGTCACTCACCACCGCCTGCACTAGCGTGTGAGTTCTGTGAGGACAAGGGCTTCTGTCTGCTTGGTTCGCTGCCATTCTCCCAGCACCTAACACGGTGCCTGGCAAATAGCAGACACTCAATGAATATTTGCTGAACAGGAACTAAGAGGAGCTGTGCGATTTGTATAAGTCCCTTCATCTCTCTCGGCCTTGGTTTCTTCATCGGTACAACGGGGCTGTCTGCACCCTGAGGCCAACGTCACATGAAAGGAGAATGCCACCTTGCAAGCTCTACAGCTGCCAGACAGTGTAGTTGCGGTTTCTGACCACACGGGGCTCTTCTAAAGGAACTCTCTCCCCCTCTGACATCCCCTCTCTGCCAGGCACCCAGTGGGCATGAGAGCTGCCTGTGTACAGAGAGAAATCGGACCTGTAGAGAGGAACCACCGGATAGGGATGCCTTTTCCTGTGCCGATCGGCCCGGCCAGCCTGGCTCAGTGGTTGAGCATTGACCTATGAATCAGCAGATCAATTGGGCTTGTGGGCTTGACCCCCAGTGGGAACGAGCAGGCGGCAGCCAATCAATAATTCCCCCTCACCATTGGTGTTTCTATCTTTCTCTCCCTTTCCCTTCCTCTCTGAAATCAATAACATATATATATATATATATATATATATATATATATATATATATATATATATATATATAAATTGCCTCCAGCTTCCAGCCTTCTGCTGAAGGTTTTCCACTCAAAACAAAAAGCCCTACTGTTTTTTCCCCCAGGTTGAGCATTTCCTGCTGCTTTTCAAACTCTCGATAGCCAAGAAATAGGAGAACTTATGATTCTAGTCTGTCCTATTTTCTCCTCGTATCCTGCCAACTAGCGTGAAAGACGATGAGTGTGCCCCATGGGCCATTTTACCACTGCCCAGGGGAAGACGTTACAAAAGAAGAGAGGACAATTCAGCACACAAAGCTGGAGACTCTGGATGTGTTTACTCCATGGATTGTGTCTGTCAGTCTGTCTGTCTCTCTCACCACTACCCCCTGCTCCGTTTGGCCATCTCAGCAAACACATGCATACCAAGGCTTCCAACCCCACGGGAAGGGGGCACTCTGCCCAGAGGGCTGGCACTCGCTCCTCCACCATGTGGCTATGTGACCTCAGACCAATCACCTGCCCATTCTGAGCCACAGCATTCACATCTGTACCACGAGCAGATTCCCCACCTGCCCTCCAGAATCAGCTAAAAGCATCTCCGAGCCCGTGGTGCTGGGACCCTGGTCCACACTCTGAGTCCATTTGGAAAGAAGCAGGATGATCTGCCCAGGAGTCCAGGCCAAACTTCAGAAGCTGGAGGCGAATGCAAGTTCCCAGGCCCCGCCCAGCCAGCCGCACTCTTACCTTCTCCAGCTGGTGGACACCCTCCTCCACGCAGCAGATGGAGGCCAGCGTGCGGAGTGCCTGGGGGTACAGACACCGGAAGCTGTCCTGCCGGCAGACCTTGAAGAGTGCTACGACCCCACCCTCCTGCCAAGAAAAAAAAATGGCACATGACTTTACCGTGTGACCTTTCCTGGGGCTGACTCAAAAATAAGTGACTGACACCTCTCCTCACTCGGCAGGGATGTTTCGGGTCTGCAGGGAGGCAGAAGATGGCACCCCAAGATATGCCACTTTGGCATAAGGATCATTTTGAACTGAAGACATTGGGAAGAAGCAGATACAAAAAAAAAAAAATTATATCTCCCAATCTTCTATTTGCCTAAAATCAGAACATACACTGAGTGGCCAGATTATTATAATCTCTGAACGCACAATAAACTGGCCATTCAGTGTATATCCTATAAAATAAAAGGCTAATATGCAAATTGTCTCCTCAACCTCGAGTTTGGCCAGCAGGCAAACCGGCCAACTGCCCGTGTCCCCCGTGCCTCCCCCCCCCCACTCCCACCAGGTTCACTGGACCCCATCCATGCACGAATTCATGCACCAGACCTCTAAAATCACACACACACACACACACACACACACACACACACACACACTCACAGTGTACATTTATTAAATTATCCCCCTTCTCCTCTCTACCAGGAAGGACAAAGTTAATCACCAGAGATAACTTCAGACCTTTATCAGCCTGGAATGGAATCTACACAACAAACTTTCCTACCGGCCTTTATCTACAATAGGTTCCCCAGATATTTGTCTTCCCATAGTTTGCTTCCCCAGAGACTCCAGGTCCTTTTTCTTTGTCTTGTCACTTCTTTAAAAATACATTATTCCTGCCGAAACCGGTTTGGCTCAGTGGTAGAGTGTCGGTCTGTGGACTGAAAGGTCCCAGGTTCAATTCCAGTCAAGGGCATGTACATTGGTTTCGGGCACATCCCCGGTAGGGTGTGTGCAAGAGGCAGCTGGTCGATGTTTCTCTCTCATAGACGTTTCTAGCTCTCTATTCCTCTCTCCTCTTCTCTGTAAAAAATCAATAAAATATATTTTAAAAATAAAAATACATTATTCCCTTGCTAAGATTTCAGTTCTAATCAACTCTGAGATAATCATCTCTGAGTGCTCCCAGGTGTACGAGCTAATAAAATGCTATTTGTTTTCCTCTTGTTAATCTGTCTTTTATCAGCCCATTTCACAGGGCACAGAGAACCTCAAAAGGTGATAGACAAAATAATTTTCTCCTCTGCACACACACATACATACATACATCACACTCCCATGCTCGCATGCATGCTGCAGTAAAATGCTAGCTACAGCCGAAATCAGTTTGGCTCAATGGATAGAGTGTCGGCCTGCGAATTGAAAGGTCCCAGGCTCAATTCCGGTCAAGGGCATGTACCTTGGTTGCGGGCACATCCCCAGTAGGGGGTTTGCAGGAAGCAGCTGATCGATGTTTCTCTCTCATCGATATTTCTAACTCTCTATCCCTCTCCCTTCCTCTCTGTAAAAAAATCAATTATATATATATATATATATATATATATATATATATATATATATATATATATTTTAAATGCTAGCTCCAGAAACAATGTTGCCCTTGAGAGTCTAAACTGGAGGTGGGAGTCCCCAAATACTCTGAGGTTCAAGTGCCAGGGACGTGGGCAGACGTGTTTGCTAGGACCAAGCTCAACTCCACTTAACACTGCTCCCAGGTACCTAGTAACTAATTCCCCCTATGGAACAAGCCTGTAGTCACCTGAAATAGCTTCTAGAAATAAGTCTGAAGCAGGTGGAGGGAGCTGAAGCCGAGAGGCCCACTGCTGGTTCTTGCCCTGCCGCAAACACCCACTACTTCTCAGGTCTTTCCAACCATAACAGGCAGAAAAGGAGTTTTATGCCCTAGCTGGTTTGGCTCAGTGGATAGAGCATCAGCCTGCAGACTGAAGGGTCCCAGGTTTGATTCCGGTCAAGGAGACACACACACACACACACACACACACACACACACACACACCAAAGGAGGAGGAGGAGGAGGAGGAGGAGGAGGAGGAGGAGGAGGAGGAGGAGGAGGAGAAAGAAAGGAGTTTTATTTATATTAATACTATAGTTTATTCCCGTTTCATACAACTAAAGTCCAGATGGGTGTAATAATTCACCCCAAATCCACATTATCCTGTTTTAACTCCTTCACTCCTGTGTGTAAAAGGACAAAAAACAACCACCTTTAGGACCCACCAGCCTGGCTCTTGAGATGAGCCTGTACTTTTCATTTTGTGAGAGCTGCTCACACAAACACCTTTAACTTGTGAAGGCTTCCCACACAGACTCATCAGATGAGTCATCGCACATCATCCCTCCCCCGGCACATCAAAAAGACAAGCTCCGGGCCTTTTCATTCTCAGGGTTTATGGCTCATCACGGCAGGGACCCAGAAGAAAGTGCCTCACTGCGGGGGCGTGTATAAATGCTGGCATCTTAGGATCAGCTCACAGTGATTCTTTACCTTTTATCCCTACTTTCCTTTGAGGTAGTTCACTTGTTGGAAATGGGCCTATCTTAGGACTGGTGCATTCATTCAAGCAGCCAAAAAGCATGAATGGTTTATCATGTGCCAGGCTCTGTGCCGGGCACCCAGCACACAGCCTCGGTCCCCGTCCACACTGAGCTCATGGTCTGGGGGACGATGAGACAGGGGGAAGGCAGGTCGTGTTAAAGGTGGAAAGAAGCCTGGGTAAAGGTGCAGTGTCATGGCGTGTGTGTGTGTGTGTGTGTGTGTGTGTGTGTGTGTGTGTGGTGTATGTGCAAGGTGCAGGGTTAAAGAGGCACGGAGCAGGCACTCTTGTCCTAATCTGAGGTCAAAGTGAAGAACTCTGATTCCAGATGCACAGCCTCACTCACTGCTCTGGTATAGGACAAGCACCCACTCTGAGTCCGTGCTCCACATGCCCCTCCCTGCCTTCCTGCTTTCCCACCGTCCCTGGAATGTCTAAGGGCCTCACTAAGAGAGCCACTGACATAAAATCAAATTATCCTTTAAAGCGGGAAGAAAAGAAACCTGCTGGCCATTAATGACCTCCCTCCAGATTAGATATTTATGTCTGTGTGTGTGCATAGGCATGTATGCTTATATATGTCTGCATTTATACTTAATCATGTATATATTATATAAATATTATTTTATTTTTTAAAAATATATTTTATTGATTTTTTACAGAGAGGAAGAGAGAGAGAGAGCTAGAAACGTCAATGAGAGAGAAACATCGACCAGCTGCCTCTTGCACACCCCCTACTGGGGATGTGCCCGCAACAAAGGTACATGCCCTTGGCTGGAATCGAACCTGGGACCTTTCAGTCCGAAGACCGACGTTCTACCACTGAGCCAAACCGGCTTCGGCATAAATATTATTTTATATACATAATAGAGATAGATGATAGATAGATAGATGATAGATAGATGATAGATAGATAGATAGATAGATAGATAGATAGATAGATAGATAGATTATAACAGACTAGAAGCCTGGTGCATGAAATTCGTGTGGGGGCAGGGGTGTCCCTCAGCACAGCCTGCACACTCTCCAATCTGGGACCCCTTAGGGGTTGTCCAACTGCTAGTTTAGGCCCAATCCTACAGAGATTGGGCCTAAACCAACATCCCTCTCACAATCCAGGACTGCTGGCTCCTAACCATTTGCCTGTCTGCCAGCCTGATCACTCCTAATAGCCTCTGCCTGCCTGCCTGATTGCCCCTACCACCTCTGCCAAGCCTGATTGCCCCCTAACTGCTCCCCTGTCAGCCTGATTGCCCCAACTGCCCACTCCTACTGACCTGATCACCCCAACTTTCCTCCCCTGCTGGCCTGATCACCCCTTAATTGCCCTCCCCTGCCAGCCTGATTGTCCCCTAACTGCTTGCTCTCCCTTACCAGCCTGATCTCTCTCCTAACTGCTTGCTCCTCTGCTGGCCTGATGGCCCCTAACTGCCTCTGCCTTGCCCCCACCACTGTGGCTTTGTCCAGAAGGAAGTTGAACATCTAGAAGATGTCTGGTCGACCCGGTCTAATTAGCATATTACCCTTTTATTAGTATAGATAGGTTGACAGATAATCATACATTAGATAAATGATAGATTGATTGATTGATTGGTAATCATACATGAGATAAATGAAGATAGATGGTAGATAGATGATAGATAGATAGATGATAGATAGATAGATAGATAGATAGATAGATAGATAGATAGATAGATAGATAGCTGTAGATCATTTATATATGGAATAGCTAATGAAGAAATGGTGCCAAAAAATTCAGGCCGAAAGCCAGGATCAATGTGGCCACCTTCCTTTGGCTCAAGAAGCACTGAGCCCAGCATATATTTAAGCCTCTGTTCCCATTTGCATTTGCTTCTCATTACATCCTTTCCAGGCCTATGGGGGGGGGGGGGTGGATTGGCCTTCTTAGCTTTTTTAGTTACTGGGAGAGGAAGGGGAGCAATTCCAACCCAAACTGAGGGGATTCTTCAAATCCTGGTTCTGCTGCTGGTTAACTCTGGCCAAAAATGGGGTCATGATACAGCTATATGATGGGATTTTGGGGGGAGTCCATGAGTTCATGTAAGCACCCAGTCTGGACCGCAGGCTATGGAAGAAATCCTGGTTAGAAGGGTGTCTCTTAACCTCATGAAAGGTGCTGTCTCAAGTGCTGGGATATGTGGGAGGGTGAGAAGGAGTGAGATAGTGAGCGAGAGAGATGGATTAGTGGCAGGGCCCACCCTGAAGTGCCTGCCAAGGACCCAAGAGCAGCACTCATCTTCGCGTGGAGCCGGGAATCGCTGGAGCTAGCAGAATCACACTGCTGGCTGGAGCTTATTTAATTTTATAGAAAGCTCCGGGCTCAGAGCCCAGTTGTATCTAGTGTGTGTTATTCAGACAGACTTGGGATAAGCTACCAAAGCTCTGGGCTGTGTAGACTGGTGGTGGGAAGGATAGAGGAGATGGAGTGCAGGGTAATCTTGACAGAGCACGTGGAGTTTTCTGTGCTTTGCACTCAGGAAGGGATGGGGAAGATTGGGCTTGGTCGGTGGCCTGCAGAGGAACCCAAGAAGCTGAGATGATGGACCTCAGACAGGCTGTCACATCGTCTCCTGGAGGCAGCTCATGTGGATGGAAGGCCCAAAGGCAGATCACACTGGGCCCCAAAGAGGCGGGTGGAGAAGTCTAGTGGGGGAGCTGCCCCATAGTTGTTGCAATGGTGGACATATCTCCTGAACATGGACAATGAGGTGCTGTGCAGGGTATACCAGGTACTTAACCACTGTGAGTCTCATATCCTTTAAAAAAAAAAAAAAAAAAAAAAAAAAAAAAAAAAAAAAAAAAACAGGGTCACTAGCCCTACCGACCCATTTTGGCTCTGTGGATAGAGCATCAGCCTGAAGACTGAAGGGCCCCCGGTTGGATTCTGATCAAAGGCACATCCCTGAGTTTTGGCTTGATCCCTAGTAGAGGGGGGCAGGAGGCAGCCAATCAATGATTCTCTCTCACCATTGACGTTTCTATCTCTCTCTCCCTCCCCTTCCTCTCTGAAATCAATTAAAAACTAAAAAAAAAAAAAAAAAAAAATTAAAAAAAAAAAAAAAACGGGTCACTGATATCCATCTCAGAAGTATGTGTGTAGACAAGATATAACATGTGGATAGTGCCCACACTCAAAGGACCATCCAAATCTTTAAACAACTGCTGGTCATAGTTCTTGAAAGCCCAGGGCTGATGTTGGGATTGAGAGAAGTTAAATAGCTGAGGATTGGGTCTAGGCAAAGGCCTTTCCCCACAGAAAATATTTGGGATGGATATTTAACCAGATTTAATTTCTGATCCCCAGGGAAGACTAAGGCCATCTTCAGCTCACACCCCTCTCTGCTTCTGAAAGTGGAGTACAAATGTAGGCAGTAGGGGCCATCTGCAGTGCATGGAGACAGAGCTCAAATGCCCAGGCCCTGAAATAGAATAAGACATCTGGCCAACTTTCCTCCTCAGAAAAATGTTAAGGCCTGTTCTTTCCAAAGTGTAAAAGCATTTCAGGCTCTACTGGTTTTGCTCAGTAGTTAGAACATTGGCCTGAGGATGAAAGGATCACGAGTTCAATTACAGTCAAGGGCACGCATGTTGCTTGCAGGCTCGATCCCCAGCCCTGGTCAGGGCACATGTGGGAGGCAACCAATCAAAGTGTCTCTCTCACACCTGTTTCCCTCGGTATATCTTGCCCACTCCCGTTCCCTCTCTCAAAAAAAAAAAAAAAAAAAAAAATAGAGGAAAAATATCCTCTGGTGATGATTAACAACAGCAACAATAAAAACTTTTCAGACCCACGGAGCTATTCAGAAGAGTTCCTTGCCCCTTCCATGCCTCAGATCCATACCTGGAGCTCAAACCCAGCCAATATTTGCAACTAATTTTGAAGGAGAAAATAGTTCTCATTCTAAAAGAGAGTCAGCTAAATTCTGTTTGAAATTAATCATTAAACTGCCGTTGAGTCAGTTCCAGCCCCAATTCCAGCCCCCATAGTACTGAGCACTGAGCAGACCTCTGCAGAGTCAACAATCAAGCTGAGTGACTGGATCACAGAATCCTTGGAGAGGACAGGCCTTATGCTAACCTCACTGAGCCCTTTGCCCATCAACACCACAAGCTTTCCAAGTCAAAGCACACCCAAGCACTCTCTAAGAGATGGTCCCCAACCCAAGAGGCATATTAGAGTCATGCAGAATGCAAAAATATCCACCCCAGATCCTATTCTGGACCAGTTAAGTTTGAACCAGCTGATTAAAGCTCCCCAGTGATTCTAATGTGTGGAGTTGAGAACTTCTGAGTCACACTTTGGTCCAAGAATCTGAAAGGCCAAAGACTGAACCGGAAGACACCACTGTGGGCTCTAGGACCATGAACTCTAAAGTAAAGAGACGTGGGTTCGAATTCTGACTCCACTCTTTATCAGTTGTAGGACTCTCAAATCCCTCAAACCATTTCTTCAACTAGCGATGGAAACAACATGACACCTACTTCATAGGACCTCAGTGAATTTGGGATGGAGCAAAAGGATCGTGTTTTCCAAAACTCCCTGGGAACCCCAGAGCTGGAGCATCTTCCGGTGACTGGCATCCTAAGTCTATTGAAGGGCATTACTTTGCTTCCAGTGAGACCACTGCTTCTATACCCAACGGGATGTCATTTCTCAAGTAGAAAAGTACAGATGGCCGAAACTGGTTTGGCTCAATGGATAGAGCGTCGGCTTGCGGACTGAAAGGTCCCGGATTTGATTCCGGTCAAGGGCATGTACCCTGGTTGCGGGCACATCCTCAGTAGGGGGTGTGCAAGAGGCAGCTAATTGATGATTCTCTCTCATTGATGTTTCTAACTCTCTATTCCTCTCTCTTCCTCTCTGTAAAAAAAATCAATAAAATATATATTATTAAAAAGAAGGAAAGAAAGAAAGAAAGAAAGAAAGAAAGAAAGAAAGAAAGAAAGAAAGAAAGAAAGAAAGAAAAGTACAAATGAAACAGGCCCTGATGAGGTCCAAAGGTTACCAATCACCTCTGTTTGCCCTACATATTTGGACCTTTAGGGAACAAGCCTATTGATCATGAAGCTAATGAATTATAACTCCCATTGTAATTGCTGAAAACCATTGTCTTTTCAAGTGTGTCTTTCTCTTGTGGCTGCAGACATTTTTGGGATGCAGCCGGCAACCTGAGCTTGGGTTTGGGGTTTGGTGGAAATATGGAGACGAGGAAAGACGGTTGTTTGGTTTTTATAATAGGCATCATACATGAAGAAAGATGGTAAAGCAGTGGTTCTCAACCTTTCTAATGCCTCGACCCTTTAATACAGTTCCTCATGTTGTGGTGACCCCCAACCATAAAATTAATTTTGTTGTTACTTCATAACTGTAATTTTGCTACTGTTAGGAATCATAATGTAAATATCTGTGTTTTCCGATGGTCTTAGGCTTGTCGCAACCCACAGGTTGAGAACCGCTATCAGGGTCTCCTAAGACTATCAGAAAACACAGATATTTACATTACGATTCATTAACAGTAGCAAAATTACAGTTATGAAGTAGCAATAAAAAATAATTTTATGGTTGGGGGTCACCACAACATGAGAAACTGTATTAAAGGGTCGCGGCATTAGAAAGGTTGAGAACCACTGTGGTAGAGGGTCCGAGGGCATTGAGACATCAAGTGGGGAATGAATCAGAGGGGAAACTATTAAAGATGGAGACACCAAGATCCAGGGAGGGGAGGTGTCTCTTTTTACACAGCAAGCAAATGCTAGAGCCAGGACAGCTTCCCGAGCCAGTTATTCCCCAAAACCAGCTTCCTTGCACTCCCTCCAGGCCATCAATGTTGGCCCCCCACCATGAAGCTCACCTTTGCTATTATGCGGCACAAGGGGGCCCCCTCCTGGGTCAGGCTGAACAGGTTCCCAGTGGTGGATTCCGTGGTGTAGATATTGTCTGAGGCATCGATTTTTCTCACCAGTGCCTAAGGAAAGAGAGCAGAGATTCACGGTTACTCACCCCATCTACCCTCTGCTCACCTTCCTTAACAAAGCATCAGTGATTTCATGCTCTTAAGAGCCCTCTGGAATCTATAACCCTTTCCCATCCACCGTCCTACTATGGGGTGATGAGGTTCTAACTTTGGGAAAGACATGAGCCAGCATGAAATCGGAGCTACATTTCAGAAACATGGGATCATTTCAAACCCCTGGGGCCTAGATGCCCTGCTCCAGGGGATCAGGAAATACTGATGGTCTCAGCAAGTACCATTTTGTTGTGCAACTGACTCCGAAGAGGACAGAAAAACATCAGTTAAATTTTTTTTGGGGGGGGGGTCTGTAAGAGATCAACTGAAGGACTTGTACGCATGCATATAAATGCATATAAGCATAACCAATGGATATAAGTCACTGTGGGGGGGGGGATGACAGGTGAGGGCATGTACTCAGGGGTAAGGGAGGCCAGGGGGAGGCCAATGGGGGGGGGGGAAGGAGACATATGTACCACTATTTGTAATATTTCAAACAATAAAAAATAAATAAATAAATAAATAATTATAGATAGATGAAAGATATATATATATATATATATATATATATATATATATATATATGTTAAATAAACCATCACAGAGCTGGTTTAAAACAGAGCTGCAGTAGTGACCAAAGAAGCTCCTTATTTTTGGATAGCTATTAGCCAACAGAGAACCCCAGCTGGGTAAGGGGTTAAGTCAAAAGAAGCACTCTACAGTAGCTTCTGGAAACACTAAACACAGGACCCAGGGAGACCTGGGAAGAAAACAAATAGTAAATTTATCAAGAAGGTAAGAACATTATTCCCAGAAGAGCTAGGTTATTTCTAAGTAAAATCCTTTCAGGTGTCTTAAAACCACTTCATATTCACCCATTTGCTTTAAAGCACGTTGCTCATTTATAAATGATTCCTGCCTGCTAATTAATGCTAATTTCTTGAGGGCTTTTTTTCTGCGCGGTGTGGAGATGGAGATGGGGGAGGGCTGCCTTTGGGGGGCCTTATGCAAGAAAGTAAGCTTTCAGAGATGGGTGCTCTGAGCAGCCACTTTTGCACTTTCAGTTGCCATGTTTATTTTAAAATATTAAAAGGATTTAGTTTTTATTAACTCTGGTATTATGGAAAAGATACTGAGTTCTAGTTCCAGCTTGCCTTTTTTAACACACTATGTTGATCAGAAAGTGTGTGTATGGTAAAAGCGTGGGTTTCTGAACCAAACTGCCTGGGTTCAAACCTTGACGCAACTTCTATGTATGTGCGCTAGAGCAAATTACTTAGCGCTATTTGCCTCAGTTTTGTCATCTGCAAAATGGTGGCAATATTGTGATTATGGTGATTATACCCATCTATTAAAGTTGTCAAAACATATAAAGAACTTTTAAATGTACCTGGCACTGAGAAGCAAAATAAAATTGTTTTTGTGATCTTGGGAAATTGAGATACACTCCCTAGGCCTCAGTTTACCCTTTTTATATAACATGATTGAAACTAAGGATGTTTGAGGCTCCACATAACTGGCTCTCCCTTTTTTTCTTCTTTATTCAAACTCATAGGGTTCTTCACACTAAGATTAAGTGTATATCTAATCAAATCACATAAATATAAAAATTATCCCCTAAGATCTGATAGATGCCTTTTGTAAGATATTCAACAAAAGGTAAAATTAATAATCAAGATTTGTCACTACAAATCTCTATAATGAGCCTATTTCTTAGAAGCCTCCCCCCTCGTTACCGTAAGCAGTTACATAAGTGATACTAATGCTCACATGAAAATGCAGCTGTCATATACGGGGCCCTATACCTAAATGATAATTGCCTAATGTTCCTGATTAGTGTTTGCACTTGAAGCAAATTAGCATTACATTAAACAATCCAAACCCAATGTCTTTTGCAATCACCTGAGACTGTGAGACAATTTATGTCTACGATTAATTTCTTTTAATGTCCATGTGCATATTACTGTACTTACCCCCCAGCTATGTCGCAGTGAACCAGCTCTCTGACCATCAAAAGCATTTAGCATCATGTTCACATGTATACTAGTAAATGCGGAAAGACATGAATGCAAAGGCTCTTCTGAAGTCGTCAAGGCCTAAAGTATCATAAAATGTCAGGGCTGGATGGGCCCTCAGCAGAATAGTCCAAACCTTATTACACAATTGAGGAAATTGAGACTCAGAAATCTGGTGTGAGGTACATAGTGAAGCTGAATCTTAACCTTGTGAACTGGGCTTCCTGTTTCCAAAAGTTAGTGACTCCTCCTTCTTTGTCAGCGGGACCTCAGCGGGACCAGTAGAGATAAAAGTATCCAGCCTCCATCCTGGCTTCCATAAGCATCTACAATGCTCTGCCTTCTGGTGCAGGGCTCCTGCTGCAGGGACAGAGGTGACAGAGTCCCAGCTGCTGCCCCTCGGGATCCACCATCCGTGTTCTGGCCAAGGTCACCCTTCCCCTGAGCTACGCCCAGCTGTGTCTGACTGCAGTGCAGGCCCATGCCTGTGGGACAGGAGACTCCTCTAATGGGTGACTTTGACGTGAAAATTCTGAGTCTCTTTCTACTCAGTTCCTCCTTTTTCCTTTTTCTCAGTTGTCAAAACAGCAACATGGTTTTCTATCCCCGCTCCTGCTTCCTTCCCTTTATCTGTCACAGGCATTTCTTATCAAATTCTGTCTTGGTGTCAGCTTTAAACTCACACAGTCTTTGAAGTCAATTTGTTTTTCAGGAAATCAATGAGGAATTGGATAAGTTTCAAAAATGTGTTTCACCCTATATCGTGAAAAGAGTGTTGGGAAAAAAAATAGAAACAAAATAAAGAAAAGTAAACCAATTAGGCTGAATGACAGATTCCTTAAAAGATAGACTATGCAGATGTGAAACACAACAATGAGATATAAGCAAGAGACAGGGATAAGAAAGAGTTAAAGGGATGCATGCAACTTAACTGCTCTAAATAAGAAATTAGAAAAGGAAGATGGAGTGTTTTTCATTGATTTTCAATCAGAAAGAACGACTGCAGCTCAGTGATATTTATAAAAGAGGTAAACTCTCAAACAACTGCCTGGAATGAGCTTCTCAGAAGCAGCCAGGAAAATATGAGGAGGCCTCTTCCTGGAGCTTCAGGTGGAGAATCCACAGCTGGGCATGGTTAGGGCAGCCCCGCTATGCACAAGGACTACATAAATGTGGGCTGTTTGGACAGGGGGCAGTATGTTCAAGATCGTCACAAATGGTTTGCTATTCCTCCCAGAGAAATGTGGGTTCTAATTTCCCTCCTTTTGAATCTGGGATGGCCTCAATAACTAACAGAAGCCAGCACTTGGCAGAAATGATGTTCTAGGATGTCCAAGACCAGATCATAAGAAGCCTTGAGGCTGCACCTCAGACTCCTTATGATATTCTTGTTGGAGTCCTGAGTTACCATGTAAGAAGTATGACAACCCTGAGGCTGCCATGCTGGAGAAGCCATGTGTAGGATCCCTGATCAATATTCTCAGTTGAGATGCACTTTCCAATCATCTCCTCAGTTGAGACACACAAGATGATGCTTTCTAAGACTCTGTAAACCATTTGCCAGCTGAATACCACCAGGTGAGCTCTGCTGATGCCTCGTGGAACAGAAGAATCACTCAGCCAAGCCTGGACCAAATTCTTTAAAAATATATGTGTTTTTTTTTCCTTTTATTGATTTTTTTACAGAGAGGAAGGGAGAGGGATATAGAGGTAGAAACATCAATGAGAGAGAAACATCAATCAGCTGCATCCTGCACACTCCCTAATGGGGATGTGCCCGCAACCAAAGTACATGCCCTTGACTGGAATCAAACATGGGATCCTTGAGTCTGCAGCCTGACACTCTATCCACTGAGCCAAACCAGTTAGGATTGGACCAAATTATTGACCCTTAAAATTATAAGATAGAATAAAAATGATTGTGGTTGAGCATTGATGGACTTCTTGGAGCACAGAAAAAGATCAGAGATCAGCATGAACTATTCAAAGGTTAAATTTCTAAGTGAAATGTTTTGAATATGTGGCTATAGTATTGTCTCTGCCCTAAGAGTACATATTGGAGAAATGCATAAGTTAGGACTCTGAGGAAAGACACAGAAAGATTGGACATACTCGATAGGAGACAGACAAAATAATAATTCCACCCAGGCTCGGATTAGCCATTGGTTTGATAGAGAAATATCTCCTGGATAAGAACATCCAATTGAGGGAGGCAAATGTAGATAAGTTCTCTTAAAACTGGAGGCTTGGGGCAGACCCAGACCTTAATTTATTCCATTTCTCTCAATAAGGCACATTCCCAAATCTAAAAGAATGTTTTTGGAAAAACAAAAACAAAACAAAACAAAAATGCGCTGGAAAAGAAGAGAAGTCAAAGCAGGAAAGCCAATCAGATGCAGCAACTGCTGCATTCATGAATTAAAGAATGAAACAAACTCACATGAGATGCAGGGCAGACTTAGAAATTCTGCTGAGTTTCATTCTATGAATTAAAGAATGAAACAAACTCACATGAGATGCAGGGCAGACTTAGAAATTCTGCTGAGTTTCTCTGAAAACAGGAGAGGAGTAACAGAAGGCAAGAAAACGCTGGAGGCAGAACTTATTACTGCACACACAACAAGATGTAGCAGAAAGAAATGCTACTAAAGGCTAAAACATTCAAAAGAGATGGAAAGGCAGTGCTCTGAGAATCACATGACCAACGGGCTCACTAGGTGCACAAAGGCCAGACGTCAGTAATAATACTCTCCCTTGAAGATTGCTCAAGGCCTAAGCCATGCTCCAGCTTGGGGCAGGGCCAACAGCCATCATGACAAGGAACCAGAGCTCTTGTGCATCCTGGTCAAGTTTTGTGTGTGTTTTTTTCTCATTAAGCTCTAAAAGATTTTTTTTTTTTTTAAATATGACCCCTTGCACATTTTTTACTTGACAGGGAAA